TTAAAACACTGCGACGACTACGATGTAATCTGATTAAAAAGCCTGAATTTTTTTATAAATTCAGGCTCTTTAATCTGCCCGACATTTCGGCTATAGGTTGTGGATTTTTTCAAGGGAAAATATTGTTTGTCGTTATTGTCAATAGTTTAATCGTTGTTCCATATTTTCGTTTCATTTAATGATATTTAATTGAAATAAAAAAACACTACTTGGTCACAATTTTGATCACCACTTGAAGACGATAATTTAAAAAAAATAAATTAAAAGAATTAAAGAGTGTTTTAAGACTGAGAAAGCCGTAAAACAAAGCAATTCCTGTCAAATCCCAGCCGTCACCATAGTTAAAATTTTTGCTTTAAAAAACGGCAATAATATAAAATTAAATTAATAGTAAATACCGATTATTTAATACCTTTGATACCGATAAGCTTTAAAACAATCTGGCAACGCTGGTTCTGATCTTTTGCAGGACACAGAGGTGACTTGGACATGTGACCCTGACGACCGCAAGCAAAACAAATCCTCATATCTTTCTTCACACGCTAACTTGAAAGTACCCATTAATGGTTGAAAAAGACCCATTTTGAAGAAAAGTGGCTTAACTCATTAAATGAGTAAATTTTTTACCCATTAATGAGTATCTGTTACCCATTAATGAGTAATTGTTAATCATTAATGGGTAACAGATACTCATTAATGGGTAAAATTGTTTAATCATTAATGAGTTAAGCCACTTTTCTTCAAAATGGGTCTTTTTTTACTCATTAATGAGTACTTTCAAGTTAGCGTGCAAAGTAGATGCAGCTATCGGAAACCGGCTCATGATTCGGTCCTCCCTACGCTCCTTTCTTGACTTCAACCACAAACGAACTTCGTTTGTGGTCTTACTTCGTTCCGTGATAATCAAGTTCGATTTGAATATGCGTAACCTAAGTGTCCCTGCATATGATTAGTGTTCAAACATCAAACAAGCATCGCAACGAGGAGATGTACAACCGGATTCACCAGCAGCAACGTCAGGACATCCTACTACCACCTAAGACGGAACAGCAACAACAATGCCTTAATATTTTGAAAATCCGTCCTCACTCGTTTTCTCAGAACGGCCGTCCCGGTCGAGGTCCCGGTCGCGTTCTTTCCTGTGGCTTCGCCACGGCGAGGAGACCCGCATTCAGAACGGCCGTCCCGGTCCTGTTCTTATCATGTGGCCACGATGAAACGATTTTTTTTTGCAAATCCGTCATCACTCGTTTCTCAGAATGGCCGTCCTGGTCGCGTTCAAATTTTCAATTTTCCTTGCACGTGGGTGATTGGCCCTTTATAACCAATTGGGGGTCTCCAAGATCCCAGGTTTGGCTCCTGGCAGGATCGTCAGAAATGTGAAAATTCGCCGATATTAATTATGCGCAAATCACCCACGACGCAGCTAATAAATGTTCAACTAACCCGTGCAGCAGCTTGAATCCAAATGACCTTTCACCAACTGTCAGGAAATGGGTATGAAAAGTCATGACCTACCTACCCAAGTAACCATAGGCACGTTATTTCGCCTTTTTGGCTATATACGGGCCTCATCAGAACTTGCAAACACTGGTATACAGCTTTCCATGCTCGGTAATGGCGGCCTGTTTGTATGAATAAATGTACCCCTCTCTTTCCCTCTCCCAGGAACAGAAGAAAATGAAACAACATACGCCCTCCAGTTAGTGCCAAAAATCCAAGGGGGGAGACAGCTTTACCCTGAGTTGCTTGTTTGCAGCGAGTAACTCAATGTACCTCAAAATTCAATCGACGTTCATCGATTTTTTTTTCTCTGCTTACTCCGTTCACTTCCTTTGAGAATATGCATCTTATATTATACGCTAGTTTTGTTCGTAAACAAAGAAAAGCTGTTTTGTGCTTTTTGTTCGTATTGCTCCGTCCCGAAAAGTTGGAAATGAATTAGCAGAAGGTAGGTGGATACAGACTAGTTGTTCTCGTAACATGAACAAAGGAATCCAACCCGAAATCCAACCATTAACCCCGAAATGTTCAATCAGAGCATCCAGTGCAGCCACCACTGCCAAAGCCGGTGAGTACGATCCTCGATCCTCATCTGGACTTCAAATCCATCATCGATCTACCGGATGAAATCGAAGTGAAAACCGGTGAGGAAGACGAAGAACAAATATTCTGCGTTCGCTCCAAGCTTCTGTGATCTTGCTCACTGAGCAATGTGAGTTACTCTAGGTGCCTCAAAAGCAACTCGGTGTCTTGCCCCTTGCAAAAAGCACAGTGAAGGATACATTTATTCATACAAACAGGCCGCTATTACCGAGCATGGAAAGCTGGATAGCCGTTGTTCAGCTGTATATAGCCAAAAAGGCGAAATAACGGACCTATGGTTTTTTTCTCTCCTCTGACATAAAACTACTGCGACCAGTAATTTGATCTATTGTGTCCTTAGCTTAGTGCATGTCGTATTACTTCATCACTATTGAGAAATGATGAAGTATTCGGTTTTGATACAGTTGTCATTCTTTCCTTCATCGCAAGGAATCGATTCTAATTGAAAGGGCCCTGCTAATTACACCCTTCGAAGAGTGAGAGCACCCTCAAAAGGCGCCCCCCTTTGTCAGTCAAAATTGGATTCCTTAGCAACAAAATTAAAGAATGACACCGATAGTGACCATGCATCAGAACCCTATAGTCTTAACCACTTCAAACTAGGGAACAACGAATAGAAGATTAGGAATCACATAGATGAAGACTAACTAACGCATTTTTTTCCTTATTTCAAGATCATCCTCGGTCCAGGCAACCCGAGGAATTATCACTATCAACAAGGCATAACAAGTAACAACGACTAAGATGTGTTCCTTTGATTACTGAAAAATCCTGTTCCCCTAGTTTGAAGTAGTCAACACTAGGAATCGGTGGTAGATTACGTTACATCCCGTAACGTACCACGAAAAGGTGATCTACCCACGTTACGGGTATGGTTACTTGGGTAGTTATTATCCATATCATAATTACTTTGACTTGCCTCCATTCAGGCGGTACAATATGGTACAATGTTGTTTTCTAGTAAGGAATTGAACAAGTCTAGCAAGCGTCTTTTAGCGATACCTGGGAGAATTTAATCATATCGCTTCACGGTGAGGAGTTGTTCGAAGAAAGTTTCTTATGGGAGTTTTCGGTGGAGTGAAAGGATAATACAAAGTCCCACATGTTTCACGCACAGTCTGACGTTTGCTTATGGATTTTCTCATACGAGTAAAGAGCTACAGAGTCACCGTCAACGCCAATGTTGTGCTGGAACGGCTGGAACTGAGTCCGGACAGACCTTTGAAGCGAAATCGAATATCCATCGGTTGGAGTATTCTTCACTCTCATTAGAAGATTAGCGGTTACGCATGTTGCGAGCGCCCTCCACAAGGTGTTCATTGAAGTTTCTCGTGAGAGTCCCTCGACGAAATTGCGCCAATAACCGCGGTTTTTGCTTTGATTAATTGATTCAGCTTTGTTTTAAGCAGTGTTGGAAAAATATCAAAAAATCAAATATCACCAACGCCCAAGATACGCTTAATTTTCGTAGACAAAAATCAACAAGCAAACAACTGCGGTTGATTTTGCAAGCTGTGATATCGCTGCTCGGAATATCAAGCTAACAAAACTCACCAACTGCAAATCTCACCAAACTGTGGTGAGATTGAGTTTAAGGATTTTTGCTTTACACTCGAATGCAACCGAAACTTCCATAACGGCTTGCAGCAGTCCATTCGCATCTGCCATCGGTAAAGATTAAAAAGAGATAGCAAACTATGCTTTCTCTTTCTAAGAAAACGATGTGCAATGGAATCAGCTTGATTTTTGCACTTGTGAATAGTCTCGCAATATCAAAGGAGCTTGTAAAATCAATATCACGCATGATATTTTGTTTCAATATCACGCGTGATATTGCGAGCGCATGAGAGCGGATAAATATCAATTGATTTCTGATTTTGCCAACACTGTTTTCAAGCTTGCCGGTGCCGGAGGTGTAGTGGTAAGCGTGACTGCTTTCTCACCCCAATGGGTCTGGGTTCAATCCCAGCCGAGGTCGGTGGGACTTTTCTGAGGCATAAAAATCTCTGGTCACGTCTTCCTTCGATTGCCGTCAATGGATGGCAATCGATGTCCGTCGGTGATTGGCACAAGATTGCGGAACAGAGACCGACGTTAAATAAAGGAATGAAGAAGAAGAAGTCTCAAGCTTTGAATATTCCTTAAAGTATGTGGAGGTTCTTGGTGGAACGTATACTGAAGCAATGCAAAGATGTTCTTCACATTTATTTGGCAAGCGATGATTTCGACGCCTGATAGAGCAGGAAGGGAAATTTACAGAAAGGATAGCACTTTTTGATCCCTTAAAGGACTCCTCCATAAGAATCGTCTCTATACAGTGAAAGTTGAGTTCTTTATCGGCCGAAAGCCAGAGTGCAAATATATCACAATCAGAATAGCGAAGTAAACATTTGAACGAGTCTAAGTTAGGCACTAGACTACGGCAGTTCCACTGTACCACAGTGATCATATCTTCGACCTCGTTCGATGAATTATCCATCGAAAGATGCGATTGATGCAGGCCATGAAACAGTCAATTGCTTAAGATATGATTCTAATGTGGGAAACAAGGCAGAAACTAAGCTTCTAAGAGGGTCTTGTATGTTGAACATATTTAATTCCACAATGTCCAAAAAAGCTAGCAAAACCTCGTTCGGACCCTGGTTGGTGCTAACCCGGGAGAAATTCCCTGCGAAGTTGGACGTGAAAAAGGAGATGCCCTCCTCGCTTACCTATCCTGTGCTACTCATGTAAATTTCTCAACAATAATGTCCAACATAAGCTAGTCTATAGAACGTTTATTAGTAAATAACTTATTCACTTTAATTATATACGAAATGCTAACTGTAAACATGATTAATCAGCTTCCACTTACCGACATCATGGACTGTTGTGCCTCCACCTCGAAAATGCCTTTACTCTTCTCCTTCGTCGTTCTTCTGACAGTCCATAGCTTCCCCTTCGTCTTGAGGTTGAGAATGCTGCTCCTCTTGCTCCTCCATCTTCTCCTCCTCCTCCTTCTCCTCCTTCTCCTCCTCTTCCTCCTCCTCCTCCTCCTCCACTACTTCTTTCTCTTGCTCCACCGCCTCCTCCACTTTGTCCTCACCCCCCTTCTCCTCCTCCTGCTGCTGGGGCTGAACGCTTTCCTCTTGCTGGGGCTGAACGCTTTCCTCCTGCTGGGGCTGAACTCTTTCCTCCTGATGCTCATCCTCCCCAGCACCTTCCACCGGCTCCTCTTTGTGCTCTTCTTCTTCTTCTTCTTCTTGCACTTCCTCCTCTTCTTCCACTTCCTTCCGACCATTCTGCATTCTTTCGCGTGGTTCCGGCTGCCGCTCCACTCGCTCCTCCCTGAACAGCTCCCGGAACTCCTCGGTCAGCTGTGCGTACCGCTTCTGCAGGGATTTCTCCCGCTCGGTCTGCCTCATGACGTCCTCCGTCAGCGATTCCAACCGCTTCGGAATGGCCAAATCTTCCTGCGAGGCCAAAAATTTGAACGTCGACAGGGACAGATTGTTCTGCTCGATCTGTTCGTTCGTGTCCTGGAACTGTTTGATCAGCGCTTGAGCCCGCGCCTGGTAGCCTCCGGTGAGAATTTTCAGCTTCTTCTCGATCTTTCCGCAACGCTTCGCTTCTTTGGCCATGTGTTTCCGGTTGATTTCCAGTCGCTTCTCAGCCGATTCGATACGATCCTTCTTGCTGGCCAAATTGGCTCGGGTGTAACGGTTCTGGCTGGGAAGGTACAGGACCTGGGACAGACATTCCTGCCAGACCTGGGTGTAGCTCTCCAACGAAAGGTCCCCGTGGGCCATTCCGAATTTGACGACACCCATTTCCTCTTTGAGCAATTCCTTTGCGCCGTCCAAATCCGATTCGTCAATGTCCTCGTATGGGTGCTGTTCCAGGTAGGCCAGATGCTGTGACAAAGGATTCTTTTTGATTGGTGGAGCCTGCGGGTTGACGACCGGATTCCGGATGGCGTCGTAGTTGAGCATCTTGACCATTTCCTGTTTGACCAGTTCCTCTGCCCGTTGGAGCTCCGTCAGACCGTGCATTTCGTTGGGCGGGCGCAGTACGGTCATGTTGATGTCCAGAGGCCGTGGAAGGTCCCGTTGGATAACCAGCGATCGCAATGATAGTTCTTTGGCATCGCGAACACGTTGTTCCTGCTTCCGACGGGCGTCGACATCGGCTTGATCTGCGACCATGGATTCGCCGTCGGTTCCGTCGTCCATCGGCTCGGCGGTTTCATTGTCCGGAACTACAATTTCGTAGTCGTTTCTCGGGGTTGGCAGTGAAGCGAGTCCTTCCTTGAGAGATGATTTCAGCTGCTTCTGGTAGTTCTTGTAGGCCGCCGGAGTTTCCGTGACGGACATTGTCTCCTCTGCGTTGATGTTCAATTTGTCGCGAACGAAGTTTGGAGTTGCACCTGTCTGAACAGGAGTTGCCCCTGTCGGAACGAGTGCTCCGGAAGCAGGCGTTAGAAAACCTGCTGGTGTGGCTCCTCCATCAGGACCACGAGTCGATCGGAACGGAGTCGCCAAGACCGTATTTGGCGTTGCAACGACCATACTCTGTGGAAGTGCTCCGGAGAAATCCGACTGAATCAACGGAGTGTTGGTACCGCCCTTCAACGGTGTGTCCACATGAGTCAAAGCCATCATATTCTGTGCTTCCTGCAAGATACGATCCGTAACCGGAGCAGGAGTTCTGGGAGTGGCTGCCACCTGAGGAGTTATACTGTAGTCCGCCAGCAAAGCGTCCGTCGTTTCCACTCCCGATTCCGAAGCAACTTCCTTGGCGATTTCACTGGCCCGTCCCAGCTTTACAACTTGCTGTAATTCCTGGTCGGAAATCTGCGGTTCCGGAAGCACCAACTTTGAACGCTTCTTCGCCGGTTCCTGATTCTGCAACATCGCCAACGGGACATCATTCTCCTTCTTCTGCTTCAGCTTTTCTTTATCCTTCTTCCGCTCCCTGGCTTCCTTCTCTGTTCTTAGCTCCCCATCTAACTGCTGTTGCCTCAAACTCGAAAAATCCGCTGCAATCGGAACCACAAACTCCTCCGACGTATTGTAGAAACCCGGCGCCGGTGTCTTCTCAAACGGAACCTCCGAGTTGTAATCAATTCCCTTCAACTTCCGCTTCCTATTACCCAAACCGATACCGGCCGCCCGCAATTCCCTTCTCTTCTGCAGCGCAGCCAATCTTCTTGCCTCTTCCAGCTGCTTCTCACGGGCCTTCCTCTTGGCCTTTTTGCCTTGAGTATTGGCCAACCTAGCTCTAGCTTCCGACAACATTTCCAACTCATCCTCGTCCATATCCTTCGGATCCGGACGGGCCGGTTTTGTCTCCGGATTTGGATCAATCTCACCGGGCTTCAACTTCCTCGGATCATCCATCGAGCCATCTTCTCCCTCCTCCTTCCTCTGAGCCTGGTCCAAAAGATACTCATATCGTTCCAAACATTGCGCCGCCGTTCGGCCAATGATCGGCGCAATCGTACGCCACTGTGTCGGCATTAGCTTGGCCAAATGCAGCAGCTTCTCGTCTTCCTCCCGGGACCACTCGGTCTTCTTGATGCTCGGATCCAACCATTCATACCAACGAGCCTTGCACTGCTTGGCCGATTTTCGGTGCAGCAAAGAAGCGATTCGGGACCACTGGTTTTTGCCATATTTCATCACCGCTGCCTTGAGGATTTCATCCTAAAAAAAAAAAACAAACACCGTAGAATAATCGATTTTCATCCAGCCAGACACCGCGAAACGATTGGAAAGCAGAGCACAAGCAACTTACCTCGGTGTTTCGCCAAACACCACCCTTTATCATAATACGCGGCATCGTGCGGCTGGTTGGTTTACAGTTCTCACTTTTGAACGCTAAATTAACTTGATTTACACTGGTTTTCTACTGAATTTTTCGGATTTTCTTCCGCTAAACCAATCCGACATGAGGAAAACGCAACTGAATGCGGCTTGTTTTGATGGAACTGTCAAAAATGCGTCTCCGAAGACGATGGATGGATTCGACCGAAAGTGCCCCGATTTGCTTGTGCCCATAAAGTTTGAGCGGCTGGAAGTTAATTACGTACACGGATAGAAATCTCCTGATACCTTTCGGCAAATTTCTATTGCTGATTGTTCATAAAATGTATAAGTCACCTAATAAGCAGGCGCCTTGCAAAAAGTTAATGAAGATCATGTGTCAAATGAAATGTATAAGCGGTTACACATACCTTGTATGCATTCTTATAGGACCTATGTGATTTTTGTCTTATGGAATGTATAAGGCTGATGTTTTGGCAAAAATGTATAAGTGAAACACATGTGAATTTTCCACCTTATCGAACGCGACGAATTGAAATCGTCGCTGACGAAATCGTCGCCGGAATCGTCGCGGGTGTATAAATGTTATGGGTTGTGTCGAGTTGACTGACAGCTGATGAACTTACCTGCATGCCAATCAAAATAAATAAATATTATAAATTGATGATTCACATCTTGCAAGGAAAATTGTGACGAATTACATTAATAAAAAAAAATCAGAAATATAATATATTATCACCATTAGTATCGCTACATTAGCAGTAAGTATGAATACTATTTTCATGAAAATTCCTCCTAAAAGTGACGTTATTGTTTCAGAAAATGTCCAACATTATTTGGCATAATGTACGATGACAACGCAGTCTCAATACTAAATATCATTGCATTTATGGATTCTTTTTTCTGGGACTATCAAGACAACGACTCTGCGAAATTTACGGTAAAAGCAAATCTACAATAAGTGCCTGGATTACATCGTACACAAGGGGTGGTCACTCTACACACTTGTTTTGCGCCAACTTTTTTCTCAGTGTACCTCAGTGTGCCGCAGCTGTACCGGCAGTGTCAAGAAGTCATTGAACTGACTTTTGATTGCTTGTGAATAATGCCTTGTTTGGCAACCCGGTATTTTAACAGCTCTTATACACTGAAACAAATCGACATGTACCGTTTACTGGATCCATCTGATAACATAGCAATGTCAGCAGAATTATTCATTCTATGTGATGATTGATAGATTCCATTGTATTATCACTTTAAAACTATGACTGCGATATGGAATGATTTCTATCGTAATTTCACATACTTTGTACTTGATAATACTTTGCTTCGAACGTGGTTAGCGAAGGTAAGAATTATATGAATATTGTCTGATATATTTCATGGTGAAAAACTGTTGATATGCCATGGGTGGGAACAGACATCTAGAAACTAATGGAAAATCATATAAGTTTGCATTATGAGAAAATTCAGTACAATATACCTGTTTTCATGATGAATATTGCTCACTAAAAGATATATCTTATAAGATAATCATGTATATTTTATTGATTTGCTTTTAAAGTTTTTTGACGTTTGTTGATATGTCGCGTGTAAACAGACATGTAGAAACTATTGGACTGTCATTTAACTTTGCAGTATAGGAAAACATGTATATCTCATATCTCATTGGAATAGGTTCCTTTGATTTTTGAGGTTTAAAGATTGTAAACAGATTCATCCCAATCATTATTGGCAAATCAAAGTTGGCACTCGTGGAGAATAGAAGAACTATGAGAGTGATGATGGTTTCAAAATTTTACACGGTGAGGTATACGAGTGCAATCTTAAAATGCTTTTATTTTGCAAATGGAGCATTTTATTTAAATCTGGTTGATGCTATGTTAGTAGAAAACATAAGGACTACTCAATAGACAAATAATACAGAAAAATTAATTTCTTTTCAGATTTTTAGGTGTACACATAGATTTGAGCTTTTCTACCACTGTAGCAGCAACCAGATTTAAATAAAATGTTCCATTTGCAAAATAAAAGCATTTTAAGATTGCATTCGTATACTTCCCCGTGGAAAATTTTGAAACCATCATCACTGTTATAGTTCTTCTATTCTCCACGAGTGCCAACTTTGATTTGCCAATATAGTCATATAGATTTACCTTTTAAGAAATCCAACAGCAAACATTTGTTTTGGCATGTTTGTCTGGGATGAATATCGCTCAAAATAAAATACATCTTACATGATTGCTCTTCATAAATTATTGAAACAATTTTCAACGATGTTATCGTACACTCATTAAAATGATTAGTTGATATTATTGATATTGTAAATATTGCTAACAACAATGATACTGTATTGAATAATCTTTGTTTGTTATTGTTTCATAAGATAAGGGGTTCCGGAAAAGAATGTATTGAGATTGAAAAAAAAATATTCTACTGCAATATTTACTTTGCTGTGATTCTAATTGTAAGCCTTCTACACGGCTAATTTAGATTCCAGCCCTAGTACTCGAACTTCATGAACCAGTTCCATCAACTCATATAATTTAGTCGTTGTTTTATTGCACACAGGCGCATTAAGAAAGATTTGAACAAACGACACCACCGAAACGGCACATAAATTTGTCAGTGCTATTTGTCTTCACTCTAGCAAAACGAGCACTACATTCCATGTCGGGAGAGCTGTTCTTACTTCATGCTAATTGAACGAGCTCAATCTTTAAGTCAGCCGTGGCCCAGTGGAATCGAGCGCAGAAACCGAAAGCATCACACCTCAACAGTTCTTGATCGAATCCCAAATCAGCTACAATAAAAAAAAGACACAACTGTGAAAGCTCCCACTGCCTGATGTTTATTTTTCGATTTATTTTTAGAAATTGATTAAATATATGTGTCAAAAGAAGAAGTAAATTTCATGTGATTTTCACATAAACTTTACTTCGATTGATTTATGACACATATATTATATTGTGGTAAAACGTAAAGCTTATGCTTATGGGTTTCAAATCCATTTCAGTTAATTATTATAATTTGACTGATTTTCATTTATCATATGACGATCATATAAAAGTTACCAAATTATCAGCATTGTAAATGTATCAGATATTCATATAGAATTTACCTGACACATTTTCAATCATATCATTTTCAATGGATTATCTTATAGCGCAAATTTATTAGATTTCCACATAACAGGAATATGTCAAATTGGTTCAGTGTACCTCGTTCTCATTACACTCTATAGCACGTGATATAGCGAGATGATATCGATATCACGTTGAGGTGTTCACATTTGCGATGGCTTGATATAGATTGTCATTTATGACAGCGAGAAAAAAATCAATTATGAAGCTGAAAAATCAATAAAATTTAATTTCTAATTCGCGAATACAATTTATTTGATGTTCCTAAATTTCCGTGGAAATTTGCCGGCATGGCGTTAACGATGAAGCAAAGCATACAAAGAGTTTTGTGATTTGAGATTTTTAGTAAAATACTGAAACTTCACTACGGTATTCGTGTCTATTATAGATAGCTACAAGATAATTTATTAGCAGCATCATAACAATACAAGATAAAAAAAATATGTGCATCAGATGCTGACGGAATAAGGACTTGGTCATACTGAGACTACCAGCGGATGCCATCGTGGTTTACCAGGATGTTGAATGACAGCTGTAATGCGATAAGCTTCACCAGATATGAACCAGCCGAAGACTGAAAGAATTTTTAACAAAGAAAGAATGAAAAGGATAAGCATCAACATCTTCATTGACCTCCTACAGATTGACCAGCGATATTCAAATCGCTTGGTGCCACTTGTTCGCCACTTCTGGCTCTACACCATTATTCAACCGAAAATTCACAGATAAGAAATCGTAATCGTGAAACAAGAGTAAACGTGATATTTCTGATGTTTTAATCTTCATATGAATAATGGTGTAATTTAAGTACTTCCTATAGGATATATCCAAGCGAGTAAACCCAAGGTCAGCTCCGATAAATTCTCCGAATCAATTAATTGTCCCCATTACTCATAGACAAGACCTTCTTCGTCTACCGTCTCAATCGGCTACTACGGCAACTATGACCACTCCTTCTGCTTTTCTCCCCCACCAGTCATATACTTCATTAGATGCATGTTGCACGACTCGTTGCCTCACTTGAGAACTGCAAGTACAAAGAAAGCACGTAGGAAATAGCATCCCGCTTGCAGGAAAAACGTAGTATTACGTAGATTCTGCTGGTCGCGGAATCGATTGAAAAGTCTAATAAATTCGTTTATTATTCAGTTTCAAACTGGATTGGGTATCTTGGGTTGCTTGTTGTCTGAAAAAAGTCAGTTTGATCGTTGTTTATAAAATCTACCTCAGTATGAGGTTCGCACTGACAAAAACTTCGGTTTGGCACAGAGTTTGAACTGGTTCCAACCCCGATACAAAACCGAATTCGCTATAAGATAGGCAAGACCAATTTAAGCTCCCTTACAACGATTCCTGGTGAAAAGTAAAATCCCACAGAATAATGCACTCCATGACAAGAATCCCACTGACTTTAGCATCCGCTGCTTTGTGAGAACGTCTTGGAGAACGTACACTCCGGATTTGACATCGAGCTTTCCACTCCGGTATGCCACACCTTCACGACAGTCCTGCGGTCCCGTGATCAGTAGCCCATCATGAAACTTCGAAAAATCCAGATATTTCACCGTATCCGAGTGTGGGTGTAACAACGGCATGATTTTATACAAAGTTTAAAGTAAATAACTCCTACGATACAAAAATTAAAATACAACAAAATATCAACAAGGACAAAAAAACGACATTCTAAACTCAAGGATGTTGTACGCAGCATACTTCATCTTGGCACTGGATTTCTCCTGCAGTTGTTTGATCATTTAATTTGTCATACCGATAATAAGGCACACACACCTTTAAACCGGTTATCGATCTCGAGGAAGAGTTGGTTGTTGAAGTTTAATGAACCTCCAACGAATCTTCCGCGACCATCATTGCCATTGTCCATTGGGTAATGCCGGTGCCATCCTGTTTGCTCACCAATTATAAGGTCACGCGCTCTGTGAACTGCCATGCGGCACGGAAATCAGTAGGTATTTAATCAAAATCGATAAACATTTTTCCGAATTGTTTGTTTACCTTTTGTTATTCTCAGCAGAGCCACGGTGAAGACTTCGGAATTGTCTCACTGTCCTTCTTATGTACCTTCAGTGAGAATAGTTTGAGCATTTTCACCTACGAGTGGTTCCAATTGGCTGTTTTCGGAGGTGGATTTCACTTCCTACGTCTTCTGGTAAACTTCCTCACTACCTATTACTGGAGTTTTCTTTCCTTGCCGTTGTATTTAGTAGTTACTCAATCAATCAATCAATCAAGAAAGGCTTCGCGTTCGGATCTCGTTTTTCCTCTTCGTTCCTCTTTGGCAAGACCCGTCCGCCGCGGTGAAAAATAATTATTAACATATAAAGGTTGGTTACTTTTCTCGTGGTTCTAGAAGAAAAAATCTCAAATTAATGTTTTATTTCAAAGTTCGAGTAGTAGTAAACGTCATTTAAACTGCTCGAATGAAGTGGTTAATTAGTAGATCTTCGATAGTAAGGATCCTGCACGCGGAGGGTATGAGCTGGAAGAAACTGGAACGTCGCGCCGTGCAGATCCGTTATGCTAATATCTCAAAATATTGCGAGGAGTTATCATTTCAGTGGGATTTACCTAATTTAGTTTTTCTGGATGAAGTAGCTTTTGATAGCCACGATATGCTACGCAATAGGGGATATTGTCACGCTTATGTTAAATTCTCATTTGGTGATGGTCGAAGCGCGCCGCTCATAAGCGCGCTACAACCAACAATCAATACGAAACTAACGATTTTAAATTGGCTCACCACTTTAGTAGCCTATTGGTCCCAAGCAAACGATATTTTTAGAGATGAACTAGCCTAAGGCTAAAAATCTCTTAAATAAAGAATTAAAAAAAAAAAAACCAAGCAAACGATTAACGTACCCTATTCTAGTTGAAATTCTATTACTACACTATGTTTGTTTTGATTCGCTATGAAAGTTTGACAGATAACATCAGGGGTGTGTGGATTCATGCAGAACATGCAGGGGTGAGTGAAATAGCTTGGGACTGCTTGGGACCGGTGTTCTGGTACTGAGTGAGCCAAAAATAATAATGATTTTCTTGGGGACCCAGTGGTCTTAGAGTTACCTCTATGCTACAACCCCGCCCATAAGGATTATACACAGGTGTGTAACTTAGATAGTATTTCATGGCAGCGGCTTGAGGAGCGAATCCTGCATAAAGAGCCGCCGTGTGTTAAATCAATAGGCGCAGTCGTACGGCCATAAACAGAAAATATATGGTATAATCCCATTTTGAGAAATTATCCTGCCACGCACAATATGGGTTTGTTGGAAAAAAGCTAATTTTCCATGGCGATGCTTTACTCAGCTTCAAACATTATGACTGCACAAAAATCATGAGAAAGTGTGGTTATAAAGAAGGAGGAAAATTTGACCCTAAAGAGGTGATCTGAGGAAGGACTCCATGTATGACATCATTCTAGTTATTTCTATCACAGATACACGAAATAAATGAAATTTGTTTCAACAGCTTTTATTTTACAACATCAACATAACAAACAAATGACAATGACATCCGGAAATTTGAACGATCTGGTTCTTTCGAATACTATTTTATCTTTCTTCACATATGATCAACATCTTCTGCGGCTGTTACAGAGTTCGCCAGTGCTCGACTGAGCTCGTTTTCCACAGGTGCAAGTGAACGTTGCATTGAAGTCAGCATTTCGTTGTAGCTTTTAAGCTGTATTTCCATTCCCGATACCCGTTCTTCAATTTTTTTGGCCGCGGCTGTTAGGTGTATAGACTGTTCTCTGAGCTCTTGAATGTGAACTTCCATGGCACAAATTATAGTTTTAGCGAAAAATAGTTCTCGACGGTTTTCTTCCAGAATTGCTGAATCATCATTCGGTGGAGGTCTCAAGTGCGATTGAATGTCGTCTGGTGGATTCAGCTTCACATCGTCACGTTTGTATCCCGGTGCTGCTTCCACATGTTCCGCCCAGTTGTTCCACACGAATGAATTTGCTGATACTTCTGGATGCATTCTCTTTAGCTCGTTTATTAACCCTTGAAATGATTTGTTACTGCATGCTCCTGATCTGTCCGGGTCATCTGGGGCTTCTACACGAAACGAAAATCAATTATTTTATTCATGTGTTTCACTTATACATTTTTGCCAAAGCATCAGCCTTATAGATTCCATAAGACAAACCACATAGGTCCTATAAGAATGCATAAAAGGTATGTGTGACCGCTTATACATTTCATTTGACACATGATCTTCATTAACTTTTTGCAAGGCGTCTGCTTATTACTTGACTTATACATTTTATGAATAATCAGCAATAGAAATTTGCCAAAAGGTACACAGCAAAAAAAAAATGTAATATCGATCAATGTAATTCAAGCTGATGTACGAAATAATGATGTATTAGCAAAAAGCAGATACAATATTACATCAATGGATGTAATTTTGTTCGCAAAATCGATGTACATCGTACAACGTTACATTACACAACCGATGGATTGACCTGGTTGCAGCAGTTTGGATGTAATATTCAACAACTTTTTTTTCTGTGTATAAGGAAATTTCTATCCGTGTAGTTTCTGCACTAGATCGTACAGTTTTGGATTTGCCACCGCCAACGAATACACATGAAGGTAAACATCAATAACCTTGCATCTCCATCTTATCATTACATCCGGTTTTTCCTGCAAATCAGATACTCGATATGTGCGTTTGCGTTGAAGGTCCTTGAACAGCACAAATTTATCCATGTCTTCCCTAATAAACAAATACCATAAACGAACTGTATCCCTGATAGGTAAACTATCCCACAAATGTTATGGATGATACCCCGAACACGTCGTTAAGCTCTCTTTTATGGTTATTTTTATTAGGGTTTGAACTCAGGATCCGCTCCTTCAGTCCACTTAACTCGTTTCAAACTTTGGTCATCATAAACAGTTACCTCCCGGCGAATGTGACTCCTCGTGTGACTCCTAATAGCCTCCCAAGTTTGCTCCAACACCTCCTCGGGTGAATTGCCAAAAACATGACATTCCCTGGTAATCACCTTCGCATCCGCTTTACCTTTGTCGTGATGTTGTCCTCGAAAATCCTTCTTGTAGCAGGAAATAATCAAATGAAACGTACATTCCTCCAATCGTTTACGTTTCGGTACCGGCAAAACACTTGAAGGATGGTCAGCTTCCGGCTCTTGCTCAGGTTCTGCAGGTTCTGTCTCGTCGTAGTCTGGGAACTTATCAATGTTCCCAATAGGATCGTCTTCGTCAAGGAACTCAGCTGCATAATCGGCATCGGAAGCATCCAGCTCCAGGTTTATGCTGCAGTATGAAAGCTGAAAGTGAAAATAAACTTCGTAAATATATATGAAAATAACATTACTATCCGCATTTTCTTTACCGCTTCCATATCCTTGTTCGTAGTCACTTGATTTTTACAGTTTTGAAACAATTTATGAACCGACTAACGAAAATAAAATATCCATAAATACGAATGAAAATAAACACACTAACTCCAAAGAACCCATAGCTGGAAAATTTTCACCCATTTATGAAATGAGGTTTAACTCATTCAAAATGTTTTATGTTCTGCTCTTTTAATGAGTGCCTTTTACTAATTTATGAATAACTTTTACCTGTACATTTTACGAGTAACAGTTACTCATTAATTTGGTAAAATTTTGTTTATTTTATGAGCAAAGCCACTTTTTTAATTGCTGTAATTTTATCCATTAATGGGTTCTTTCGAGTTTACGTGATACCCCGGACAGACTATGACTTATCATGTAATATAGGCTGTCTTGCAATGAGCACTCATACATAGGATTTCCAGTGAAAACTAGATGTATGAGTGTTCATTGCAAGACAGCCTATATTACTAGAGTCGGTCTATAATGAGTCACGCCAAGAGAAAAACAGTTGAACTCGCATCACGGTTTTCGAAAGATTCCAATTCTTTTCACTTGGCAACAGAGGACTTCTACAACAACTTCAAATGACTTCTAGCGAGAGAAAAAATACTGCGGCTGCAGTAAATCATTATATCAGTGATTTTGTCAAATTATCTTAACAAAAAATAGTAGAAATTCTCATTAATAATCATTACCGAGCGTATCCCATGACAATTTAACGCTCACTGCGTGTTTATGCTCATTTCTTCGATTATATTTTATATTTTATTGCAATACCTTTCGTGAACCTTTCATAGCATCGTAATGTTTATTTACTTTGCACGATAGGTAGCCGCTTTGACAGTTCAATAGGTAGACTTGGCTTCACTCTTGGCGTGACTCATTATACACCGACTCTATATAATTACATGATATAAGCCATAGTCTGTCCGGGGTATGAGGAGAAAAAACCTTCTGTTTATTTATCAATCAGTTGTTGGAATAATACGTTTCACTAACACAAAGATTAAAACTCGTGCGCATTTTCATGCGACGTTTCTAGAACTGTCAAAAAGTGAGCGTCGCGTTTTGTTACCAATGAAACAGACATATCGACAGTGAGCATGCCGAAGGGCCTATACGCGATGATCGATTCTCTTCGTCGATTTTCTCTTTTGTTAATAACTCGCTAGATTTAACGTTTCTCGGTGCGTTTGCTGTTGCTTTTGATAGCCAATACAACCTGTTACTACTCTGCATTGAACAAATTCTAGAAAATTGTTTCGCTTAGCTGTAGCAATGCAAAGAGAAAATCGATGAAGAGAATCGATCATCGCATATTCGCCCTTATGAATGCTCACTGTCGAATATTGCTGATTGCATCTGAAACTGGTCTGCAAAAAGTGTGATAAAAGTGCACGTTTTGATGTCTTCGGAGCACTTATTGCTTGCATCATAAGGAATAAGTGCACCGAAGACACCAAGACGGTTAGACGTAAACTTGCAATTCTATCACACTTTCAAACAAGTGAAAACGCGTTTATTAGCGCAACCGTAACGGTCGTTGTCATTTGCGCGACTATTTTAACAGCGCACAGCGCTCTCATTTTAGTTTAGTCACTCTTCTCCACACCGGGCGCTGCTATCGCTATTATCAATTTACTTGCCTTTGTCCGTACCGGTAGTGAGCATTTTGACGATAGCAACGAATAGCAACCTTTCTCCCGCGCTGCTAAATTTGGTAGCGCGCTTCTCACCGAGAAGCCGACTGCTATTTTAGTTACTCGTATGGCAACCCCCGATACAGTAGCTGCGCTATGATGAGGGCTGCTAAAATGAGTTTAGCAGCGTACCGTTACGGTTACTCTTAGTCCAATTTGGTGTGAAATGCGCGAATGCGCAATATTTAAATTAACATAATTTTCATCATCCATCCAGACTATCAAACACCGTCATATGGGTTGGGGTTCATCCTTCCCGTCTTTGACGTCTGTCAGCCTTTGCCGGATGAACATATACGCTCGATGGCGCTCGGCCAAAAGGCAAGATACGAACGCCTAGCGGAGCGAGTGAAATGGAAACAATAATAACACCAACACCAATGCAACTTCTATACGGGACAAATCAAACACAACAATTCATCCGATTCAACAAGACAGCTAGCTCTGTTTTGTTGCTGGCCGTCGGCAGTGCACGCAGAGTGTCAAGAAGAGTCAGTGGATGAAAATATTTTGTACGAGCGCGATTATTATTTATCTCTCAACCCCCAGAAGAGGAGTGTCCGCGAATATTTCTGAACCGACTGTGGACAGTGCTTTTTTTTACGGCTTGTTATTTATTTTCTCGCGATTTTTCCCCGAAAAAGTGGCGCGCGGAACGTGTTACGATCGGAACCCGCTAGTGCCAGTGGATTGTTTTGTGTAATTCGGACGGGAAAAGCCCGATCAGGTGAGCACGGAGCAGCGGGATTTCAAAAATAAATCCCGAGCTTCCATCGAGGCAGAGGGCAAAAATGACGGGGCAAAGAACTTGGGTACCGCCATTTTAGTGAAAAATTTAGGTCGTAAATTTGAATTTTTCAAAAAGGAAAATTTGACCCGAAAGTGCGGGAAATTGTGAGGTTTGTGCGTGAATAAGTTGGTATTTTAGGCAGGCATAAAATCGAGTGCATTGCGTGGGAGTTGCAGGTAGAAATATGCTAATAAATTAGGGACAGGAAAATTCCTATACAACAAACAGAGATAGCTGTACAGTTTTACTGGCTCCAAAAGTTATTCGTTTGTTAAATGAAAATTTGCATGATTATGTAAGATTTGATTTGTTATTTTAAATGGAATGATAGTTTTCCAAACATTTCTTGCCAAAATACGGCACAAATCAGCCAGTTTCGAGAAAATGAGCGGTAAATTGACTACTACGTCATAGCAGGCTGCGGGAAAATAGTCTGCTCCGAACGAGTCGATGTGAACTAGATTCTCCGAAGGGCCATTGCCTTCTTGGATCGGATTTATCGTGAATGCTATGTTGGGTATAATTTATCCGATTTGTTGCATAAGTCCATCTTCGAAACAGATCTTGATCTTGGCCGTTTTTCAAATTATTCATTGGTTGGAATTTATTTGCGGTAAAGTTCTGGAAGGTAAAACTTGCCACGACGACGGCCATTTTTGCCTGAATCTGTTCTACGTGGTTTATTATAAATAATAACTGTTCTCCGTGTCTAGACGAACTTCCGAGATCGATTTGGAACAGGTTTCCTACTGTGGTGCCGAACTGTGATGGACGCATCCGTTGTTGATCATTATGTCATTGGACTTCGTAGTAAAATAATAATTGACAACATTGAGTAGTTGAGCTTTTGTTCAATGAGCAAGGTTAATTAGCATTCTAATGAGCAAATATCTGCCACTGAGCACCCATTGAGTTTATGCAAGTTACATATTGTATTTGGGTTTTGTTTGAATGCGCAAATCCAAATTCTATTTAATGCTACATTATGTTGACTATTGATTGCACTGAGCAACTTACCTTCAATTCATGTGCTCATTTTGATCGTTTGGGGTGGGCGTGTCCAATGCATCTGAATACAGTAGTACTTATTTAAACAATTTTTCAAAAATTCATAAGAAGATTAAAGGATTTCCTATCCTGACCGAGAAACATCCTGTATGATCCTATTTTCAAAAATCGCATGATTAGTATTGAATATACATATTGATCGCATTTTATTGGCGACGGAAAATAACGTTTTTCAATATCGGACTACTGTTCGGATTATGTTTGCTGCAACAGATTGGGGAACAGAACAGTATCACCATGGACAACGGTAATCACCTGGGACGGGTTTAAGGAGTTAAGTGTTGACCTCAAGCGGATGGCTTCGCATTTTTGATGACTTTCCGGAAAGATCTGCAACGTCTAGAGGGTAAAATCGCTACCTTCGAACTGCGTTGCATGGCGATAGTCCTGGAAGTGCGAAGATGCGGAATTGCCTGGGAAGAGCCCCTACCTGTAGATATCGTACCACTGTGGGGGCTGTATGTCAAACTACTTTGGACATTTGCATTCCGTATGATTCATTAGAGTTACAGGTTTCTTTCGATGCCAGCTGTACTGAGGCGATTCATTAAGGAACTGCTCATAAACTATGTATTGAACTTGATGAAGCATCTCGCATACACCATTGTTACCCAAAATCGTATAACAGTATAGAATTTCTTATTGATTTTTAACTGACTATGCATCATGCTCAATCTTACTATTACCATAGTCGATTTAACTTTTAATGCATCGTCAAAAATACCATATGCCTGTTGAAACATCATGAGCATTTTAATTATTGTCATGGTACCGTGAACGTATATTGTTCCGCTCACTTGACAATCAATTTGATATTGTTCATGCAAATTGTTAAAACTAACGCGTAAATATGTATTATTATGTTCCCTTATGTTCTGTGCAAATGTCAAAAACTTACAGTCAGTTGTAGATTATTAAAGACGGAACAAAAATAAATTGAACGAGTGGTTCTCAACACGTCGTTTCAACAGAATCTGTTAGCTTTTAACCTAAGATCCTACCTCGTAAATAACTATGTGGTTTACCATTTAACATGAATATTTTGAAGTGAATTTTAATTGCAGAATTTGTAGTTGTGCGCGGAAAAAGCAGCAGAAGGTGTTCGTATTTCCGCTCATAGAATAATAATTGTATTCCTATAAAATTTGATGCACTACACCACCGAAAGCTTAACAGCCCTAATAAAAAAATATCATAAACGAATGATAACCCAAATCAGAACTGTTCGAGAAATGGTTTGGATGATACTTGGAACACGTCGTTAAGTAAAATAACCATAACAATTTGTTGGAGTAAATCGGTAACGCAGTGTGCTGATCACCTCCTTGGAGACCGAACGTCACCTCTAGCAACCTAAGTTTTCTTAAATAAACAACGGTGAAAAACTTTTCATTCCTGTTCAAGACTCCACTCAAGCTAGTCGTTAAATAAAATCCATTCTACTTTTAAACTTTGCTGTTCCGGTTCTTTCTAACCATCAAGAGGTTATGGGCGACTCACACAAGGATTTGGTCCACGGGCACCGGTTTCGCAGTTCTCGGGCACCGGTTTCGACAATTGGCAATTTCGAGTGGAGAAGTATCTGAAGTCCGTGAAGCTGTTTGATATCATCAAGAAGGATCCTCCGATGGAAGCGGCCGAGCTCACGAAGTTCCAGGAAGATGACGGTAAGGCGGCGTTCCTGCTGACGTCATTTGTTCATGACGATTTGCTGCATTTGGTGCGGGACAAGGAGACGTCCAAGGAGATGTGGATGAGCCTTGAATCCGCCTACGCCAAGAAGTCCGTCTCGTCGCAGACATTCGTCAGGAAGCAACTTGCGAAGCTACGAATGATGGAAGGTTCGTCTGTGAAAGATCACCTGAAAACCTTCGAAGAGCTGATCCGACAACTGAAGCTGGCCGGAGCGAAGCTTGAAGAGAACGATATTGTGTCCCAGCTGTTTGCTACCCTTCCCGAGTCGTTCGATCCGTTGGTTACGGCACTGGAAAATCTAGGTGAGGAAAACCTAAAACTGGATGTTGTTCGCGAGAGCCTTCTTGCAGAGGAGCTCAAGAAAACCGACCGGGCAGCGGATTCCTGCCAAGAGAAACCTGCAGCATTCCAAGGATCGAAGCAGAAGCCTGGTAAGTTCACCGGAAAGTGTAACCGTTGCCAGAAAAAGGGGCACAAGGCCAAGGACTGTCGTGTGAAGTTGAAGACAGATGGGCGCGCTGAAGCTAACACTGCTGCTGGAGGTAAGGCGGTGGCTTTTATGACCGGGAGATGCTCCCAAACAAAGGACGAGGGAGCAGTTTCCTTTAAGCTGGATTCCGGAGCCTCGGACCACCTTGTGAATGTGAAGCACTGTTTCGCCGACCTCACGAAGCTGAAGCACCCTGTCGTCATAAACGTGGCGAAGGATGATCAATCCCTGATTTCCCGGCACAGTGGCACGATCAACGGCGTCAACAAGGAAGGTAACTATATCAGCTTGAAGAACGTCCTCTTCGTACCAGATCTTCGAGCGAACTTGCTATCTGTGAAGAAGATGGCAAAAGCGGATCTTGATGTCACATTCACGAAAAAGGAAGCGATCATGAAGCAAGGTCGTGACCTGATTGCGAGATGTCCCATGCGGGGCGATTTTTACGAGCTCGATCTCAGTGTCGATACGGTGGCGGCCAACATGTGTGGAGCTGTGACTGGTAACCTGTGGCATCGTCGACTGGCTCATTTGGGGAGCAAGAGATTGCAGACACTCGCGAAGCATGGCATGGTAACAGGTATTCCCGAGAAACCAGATAAATTGGATTTTTGTGATGTTTGTGTTCTCGGAAAGCAGTGCCGAGAACCATTCACGGGTACTAGAGTCCGTGCTACAAGACCTCTAGAACGAGTGCACTCCGATGTGTGCGGTCCAATTACACCAGCGGCTTGGGATGATTCTCGGTACTTCGTCACCTTTATTGATGATTACACGCACTTTGCAGTAGTATATCCCATCAAGAAGAAGTCCGAGGTGTTCCAGAAGTTTCGAGAGTACGAGGCCATGGCGAGTGCCGCTCTGGGACATTCGATTTCGAAGCTGACTGTCGACCAAGGGCGCGAGTATTGCTCCAATGACCAGCGTGATTGGTACGTTTCCAAGGGGATCCAAGTCGAGCCAACCGTAGCGTACACACCACAGCAGAATGGAGTGTCCGAACGGTTCAATCGGACAATCATCGAAAAGGTGCGTGCGATGCTGATTGAAGCCCAAACTCCGAAGAATCTGTGGAATGAAGCGGTTCTAGCGGCGGTATACCTGACAAACAGAAGTCCACCAGATACCGCTGATTGGAAGACTCCTGCGGAAATGTGGACTGGTCACAAGCCGGACGTTAGTAAACTACGTGTGTTCGGCTGTAAAGCATTTGCTTGGGTGTCCACGGCACAGAGGAAGAAACTGGATCCGAAAAGCAAGCCTGCTGTGATGATCGGCTATGCGCCGAACGCCTACCGCCTGTGGAACAAAGAGAAGAAGCAGTTATTCCTAGCCAGAGATGTCAAGTTCGATGAAAACAGTTTTCCGTTTGCCACCCAGATCCGTGACGAAACTCCTTTGGTTGTTGCTCCGTACGAGTTCGAGGATCAAGATGAGGAAGACGTGCAAACCCCTGAACAGTCCGTTCAACCCGATGAGCCGCTGGTGGCTCAACATGACGACATCCTGACTGATGATGAAGAAGGCGAGGTTGAAGACGACGGTGTTGAAGAAACCGGAGCGCTCCCTTCGCAACTAGACCGTGGTTCAAACCTCGAAATGGAAACCCCGAGGCGCAGCGAACGGGAGCGCAGACTCCCCGGTAAGTTGAAAGAATTTCTGGTTGGAAAAATTTTCACTGCCG